TCGAACCCGTGGGCTCAGGCAATCCACTCACCTCAGCCTCCCAAAGTGCTGGGATTACAGGCTGAGCCACCGAGTCCGGTTGTTTTTCTCATTTCAATAGCTTTAGGGGCAGATGGCTTTTGGTTACATGGACTCAGTGTACAGCAGTGAAGAAGTCTGGGCTTTACGTCAGCTACCTGCACACACTGGACCCTAGAGGGGATTTTTCATCCCCCGCCCCGAGTCTCTAGGGGCTATGACACCGTCTCTGTGCCTTTGTAGGTCCTTAGTTTAGCTCCTGCTTGTAAGTGAGAACACGCAGCATTTGGTTTTCTGTTCCTGTTGGTTCACTTAGGATGGCGTGCTCCAACTCCCCGCAAGGTGCTGCTAGAGACACCGCGCCATCCTTTTTGGCGACTGAATGCTATTCCAAGGCGCCCGTGTGTCGCCTCCCCAGTGACAGGCCTTGCAGTGGATCCACGTCTTTGCAGCTGTGAACTGTGCTGGGATGGACATGAGGGTGTTTTTTCTGGCTGTTTTATGCTGCTGATCTGCAGAAACATCACCTTTCTGGTTGACTCTGTATCCTGCTAAATTCTCTCATTAACTTTCACTCCACCTGTAGATCTTCTTAAAATCTGGAGACCAGAAACCCACTGCTGTGGCTGCTGTGCTGCTGTCTCTGCCACAGCTTCCTCCTGCCCCAAGCCTGGAGACAGGGAGCTTGGCCACCAGGGACACTTGCTTCTCAGCCGCCACCGTCCCTTCCTGCTCACCAAGCCCCTGCATGGGCTCTCTCCCATGGGAGACAGCCAGCCCTCACCCCACAACAAGGCGGGCTGCACGTGGCTCTCCCTGGTGAGCGATGGCCATCCCCGGGCAGAAAGGCAGACCCATGAATGGGCTCTCCCCGGTGGGACAGACAGCCATCCCCGACCCCGGCCCAGCAAGGCAACTGTCACTGTCCTAGGCTGCTGACCCCACCACGCAGGAGGGTTACAGTGTGGCCGGAAAGAGCCAGTGATGACACCCACCACAGCAGCCCACACACTGGTCATGGATGAGGCTGGAAGGAAATCGAATGCGCGGTGGAGCAGGTTTCCAGGTACATGTTCCCACTGAGAGAATGATCAAGAACTACATGACCCGCCTGGAGAAGGAAAGCGAGCACAGGAAGGGTGTGCCCGAGTCGCTCAGTACGTGGGGACGCACGAACGAGAGCCAACAGGGTTCAGAGACACTTAAACGTCTCGGTTTAGGAGGCACAGAACCGGTGTGACTGGACACAGAACAACGGAAAGACAGAAAGCCCACAGTTCTAAGTACGTACGGAAATTCAGCATGGGATCAACACAGCATTTCATATCAGCAGGGAGAATCGGGCGAGCCAACAGCCTGAAAAGGCTTGAGAACCACATTCACCAAGTCCGCTGGTCTCTCCCTCATTCTTTACAACAAAAGTAATTCAGACAGATGAAGTCAAACAAGTGTTGGGTTTAAAAACAACCTTGACTTTTGTACGTATGACTCACAACCCAGAAGACACAAAGAATTGTTGTATTTGATTAGATGAGACATTTAAAAAATTACATTTGAAAAACATAAACTGAGTCAAAAGAATAACCAGAGGGAAGAGTCCACAACGCACCGTGTAACATCCTCATCAGTAATGGACTGAAACACAACTGGTGGTCCCTTGAAACTGTAACACTGTATTTTGCAGTGCCTTTTCTAAGTTCAGGCATGTTGCAACACACAAATACTTACCATTGTGTAACAACTGTCTACCATAATCAGTACAGCAACATGCTGCTCAGGTGCCTAGGAGCCTTGGGCAACACCATATAGCCCAGGGGTGCTGAAGGGTACACCATCCAGGTGTGTGTAAGTGCACTCTATGATGCGTGCTCAATGACTCCTGTCATTAAGTACTCCTGTCATTAAGTGATGCATGACTATATTCCTGGTAGAATGCCAGGAAAAGATGGCAACCACAGGCTCACACCAGGGCAGCACAGAAGCCCTGCCAGCATGATGCCATAAGTAGCTGTGGTCTCAACCACTGGCCCTGCCTTTGCCCTGCCCCTTGTGCTCCCAGGCTGGGGAGTTGCAACCTGAGAAGCTGCCTTCTCCCACAGCTGCACCTCCCTGAAGACTCAGGGGAGGCCTAAGCAGAGCAGTGACCAGCAGGGGACCTGTGGGATCTGGCCCCTTCCCTCGGCTGACCGACAGCACTCACCCCCAAGACAGCAACAGAGACCACCAATGGCATGTATGCTACAGGCGAGACAGACGGGATGCTGGAGGACTTCAGGACTTCTCTGCATACTACCACACCGGGGAGAGAAATCAAAGACACTTACTTGATTTCCTTGTAAATAAATTGTCAAGTTTTGGTAAAAAAAAATTTATCATAAAAAATAAATGTGTTACAGAGAAAATTCAACTCTATAAAAAATAATAAATTTATGAAAAGCAATTGGGTTGGAGGGAGGTTCTGTCAAAACAATACAGTCCAGGTAGGTAGTTCTATGGTAACTTCAGTCCCCATGAGAGCATTTTACAGAGTGATGGAAATTTTCAGTTGTGGTGGTGGCTATACATTTGTCAATACTCAACAATTTCTACATTTAAAATAGGTACATTTCTGTATGCAAGTTACACCTTAATAAAGCTGATTAAAACACGTGTGTACACTCCAGACCCCTGCAGTCCTGAATCTGAAGTGAACACACTGTGTGAATGCACGGTGAGCCCTTTGTTTAGGGAGGAAACATGCACTCTTATACATCTGCAGCTCTCAACACTGACACATGACACGGCCTAGAATTGGGGTCACCTTCCAGCAATGAGTATCCTAAAACCTGAGCATGGTATCCAAACACTTTTCTCCGCTCAGAGGAACCAGAGCAGCTTGGAGAAACACAAAAATATACCCTCTCCAGTGGTAATGGGTAGTGAGGAAACTACCAAGACTACGAAAGGGTGTCAGAAGGACTCGGTCACCTCAAAGACGGGACAGGGTGAGTACGGCGAGGAACAGTGACCTAATGGGAGAGGGCCTGGCATTATATGCTCTCCAGTGATCATCAGTTAGCGAGGACCGAAAGGGTGCCAGAAGGATTCGGTCAACTCCATAACAGGACGGGGTAAACACGGAGAGGAACAGCAACTGGACGGGAGTGGGCCCGGCATTCCTTTCTTTCCTGCCGCCAGGTGAGCAACTCATAACTGGGAAGCCTTCCTTATAGAAGTGCTCAAGCAAGCAAATGCGGAAGATGGGCTCCCAGTGTTCCCACCTGCAACCCTGGACAGACAATCTAGGTGCTGACAGTCAGCATCCCAGCACAGGAGCAACCAGACACCACTGCCTCCTGATGGAGCGACCACCCATGAAAAAACCTTGCCAGAAACTGACCTTAAAGTTGGTCAAGCCTCTGGATTCAACGACCAGCGCACAGTGAACACGGAGCAAAGAGGGGCCAGCTGAACTATACCTGGACGATGCAACAAGCAAAGGCAGACAGCGGAAAGGCCCCTCACCAGCAGATGGGGGTGCGAGGAGAGGAGTGGGGTCTGCAGGACGACCGGCTGGGGAACAAAGAACCCATCTCTATACACGGCCTTGACTCAGACCCGAGGGGAAGAAAGTCCAACTGGAAATGAGTGGATATTTAATATTAAAGAATTCTTCAGTTTTTATCACGAAAGTTCTCAAAACAGATGGCACCTGCTAAGAATGCCCGTGGGCCAATCACCCAGCTGCAACAACTCAGCACTATTCTTATTTCGCCTCTCTCCCACCACTAAAAACATTTTTAAGCAGAATTTTAAAGCCAGTTTCAGATAGCATATAATTTTTTTTTTTTTTTTTGAGTTGAAGTCTCACTGTCACCCAGACTGGAGTGCAGTGGCTGCTCCCGGCCACCGCAGCCTCGACCTAATGGGCTCCGGCGATCCTTCCACCTCAGCCTTCCAAGTAGTCAGAACTACAGGCATGCACTACCACGCCCGGCTTATTTTTTGATTTATTGTAGAGATGAGGTCTCGCTGCCCAGGCAGGTCTCGAACCTGTGGGCTCAGGCAATTTGCTCACCTCAGCCTCCCAAAGGCGCGGGATTACAGGTTGAGCCACTGAGCCTGGCTGATAGCATATAATTTATATAATTTCACCCCCAAACACTTATGTATCTTTATCAGATAAGGGTTTAAAAAAATTTTTTTTTAAATAGAGATATGGTCTCACTATGTTGCCCAGGCTGGTCTCAAACTCGTGGTCTCAAGCAATCCTTTTACCTGGGCCTCCTAAAATGCTAGGATTACAGGTGTGAGTCAACGAACCCAGATGAGTATTTTCTTAAAAGGAAAAAATATAACCATATTACCATTATCACACACCTAAGAAAACTATCAACAATTCCTTGATATCATCTAGTACTCTTTTTGAAGTATGATCATGGTATTGTGCTTAACAAAAGATTCTTCATTAAAATATTTATAGATGAAATGATGTGGGCAACCCCTTCGGGTCGCCTCCCACTGTGGGTGCTTCTCTGCCCTCTCAATAAATCTTACTTTCTCACTTTAAAAAAAAAAAGACATCTGGGATCTGCTTTGAAATAACAAGGACGGTGGTGCTGGTGGGTGGGACAGATCTGGTTGCTGGGGCTGGCTGATCACATGGGATTCCTTCTTCTCTTCTGAGTATGTCTGTTTTAGGAATTCTCCATAAAAAACAAGCAAAAAATAACCAAAAGAAAAAAGCACACCAAGAAAAGTCAAAAGGCAGGTCAGTCAAACTTTCAAGACGTGGCTGACTCTGTCAAGACCATTTCCTGGGAACAAAACCCACTTCAGAGGGAGTAAGACACCACGCAGCCCCGAGGGACCAACTGTGGTTGATCTAAACCAGGACATTCTAAGTCCCTTGGGGAGTGACAGGTCCGGGAGCTATCATGGGACCCAGTTCTGACCACTGAGAGGAGAAGAGTCCTCTGCTTGGGTGTCTGGAAAAGCTTTCCTTTCAGGGAAGTCTTGCCTGGCTAGCCCTTATCTCCTTGACTAGCAAGAATGGTGTGAAGGCTAGAAGTGCAGCAGGCACCTAGGCCCCTGAGTGTAAGTACAGGGTGGCAGTACAGAAGGGCAGGACGCACCCAGCCCTTAACTACACAAACAGCGATGCCAGCTCTGGCTCCCTCGGGCACAAGCGAGAGCCCAGCCGGCGTGACCTAGTGAGCCGGAGGCAGCTTCTTGCAGCCAGACATGCTCCTCCCACAAAGGCAGATGCCGAAACTTAAAACTGGACTTGAGAAAGCACCCGGTATCCGCAAAGGCTCAAATGGCTAAGTTCACGAAGACTGCCCAGTCAGGAGGGCAGAATGTTTACACACAGAGATGAGCAGCTATGCGCTCCCGGCTGCCGCTATGTACTTGATGACGAACTCTCTGACTTTGGATATGTGCATCATCTCCTTCATGGTGGTGTCGCGGCTCCTCAGATGTGCTAATCCATTCTCCAGAGTGGTTTCAGTGACCAAAACGGCAAAGAGGACACCCATCTCATCATACCTAGGAAGAAGCAGTCAACAACACCTGAGCACAATCCAGACTGTGAGACCCCCATCACCGGCTAGGATGACTCAGGTCCAGGCCACCCTTGACCACAAACTCAGTCAGTCAGGGGCTGAGAGTTCAATTCACTGCTACCTCCTTACTGCTGACTTCCTTGCAGGACTCCATCGGAAACTCATGTATTTCTCTAGTTACTTGCTTATTGTCCATTTTATCCTACTAGAATATAAGCTTCAAAAGACCAGGAAGTTTTTGTCTTGTTCACTACTATATCAAATTGCATAAAACTTAATAGGTATTTCATAAATATTTCCATAAAAATAGCCTGGGACAATAAACCCTTGACCGTATAAAGAACAATGGCAACTTGAAAATGTTCACAAGACTCAAAAGGGTAAGATTTTAAACTATATATATCATAAAGACACGGTCCTGCTATGTTGCCCAAGCCAGCCCTTAACTCCTGGGCTCAAATGATCCTCTATCTTGGCCTTCCTAAGTGCTGGGATTACAGGTGTGAGCCACTGCACCTGGCCTCAAAGGGTAAGATTTTAGAATCTGAGGGGACTGGAAAGTTCAAGTACCGCCCTTCACTTTACATATGACAAACCACTAGGTGTTCTACTTCTACTGATGGAAAACCCCTTTTCTGCAGACATCATCTGGAAAGTTTATTTTAACAAGTTGTCAAGAACTAAAGAGCAAAACACAAAGCTTCACTTTTCACCCAAAAGATATGCATTCCACACAAAAGCTAAACATCGAACACAAGAGACCCACGGGAGGGAAGAAGGGATTACTTCCTTAAAAAACAAAAGTGGATAGACTATCAGGGCAAGATATAGACAGGAGATCAGCCAGGGGATTCTCTCAACAGTCCAGGCAAGAAACACTGGCGACCCTCACTCAGGTGGTGGCGGCAAAGACACAGGCTGGGTCTGAGCTGATGACCCTGCTGGTGGCCTGCGTGGAGTGAGGAAGGGGAGGGGCATACAGTCCCCAGAAGGCCCAATCTCTGTCCTCCAGGACAGAGTGCTCTTCCTTGAGTAAGCCAAAGCCTGGGCTCAGCTCTGTCAGTGCTGACCCTGCAGACCTCCCCAGGAAACCAGCAGACTGAGGCGCCCATGCTCGATGCTGGGTCTTGGCGTGGCTGCAGCATGTGCTCAGACACCCTGCAAACAAGCACCCTGCTGCAGCAACTGACTAAGCTCTGTAAGAGGAAAGGTGTAGCATCAGCTTAAATTATATTCTGCATCTATTCAAAAGAGATGTGTTTCTGTTATCATAGTAAAGAAACACAGAATCAAACACTCTGAATAAGCACTGTTTTAATGACAAGGAAGACAAGTCTTACTTTGAATAAAGCTGTTCCAATGAGAACTGCACAGTCTCCAAATAGCCAGGCCACACAGAAATTCCACTTTCTAGTAATTCATTAAATAGCCCTTGACAAACCTGGAGAAAATACAAAGATTTTAAATTAAATATAAAGAAATAAAAACAGCTAGAGTGGTTATCCTATTTTTGTGAAGCCACAAATCACCTTATCCAGTCTCTAAAATGCATACACATAAATTCCTTAAACTACGTGATATGAGTGTTTATACTTTATATGTTGCATACCTTACAAATTATACACTTCTGGCTGGGCACAGTGGCTCATGCCTGTAATCCCAGCATTTTGGGAGGCAGAGGTGAGTGGACTGCCTGAGGGGTTCAAGACCAGTCTGGGCAATTTGGCGAGACCTTGTCTCTACAATAAATCTAAAAATTAGCTGGGCATAGTGGTAGGCGTCTGTGGTTTCAGCTACTTGGAAGGCTGAGGTGGAGGGATTGCCTGAGTCCAGCAGATAAAGGCTGCGGTGGCCGTGAGCATGCCACTGCACTCCAGCCTGGGCAACAGAATAAGATTCCAACTCAAAAAAAAAAAAAAATGTACACTTCCTCTGAAATAGAAGAAATTAAGTACTGCAAAACTGAACACTAAACACATGTCTACTGAAACACACTTTTATATTAAACAAGTATTTTTATTATCACTTTCATTTAAAACATAAACAAACAAAACCAAGAGTCTACCTGGAAGACACAGGAAGTCCAAGGGGCTACGTGAGCTCGAAACTCGTGAGCAGTGGGGGCCGAGCTGTAGGTTACACCCACCAGGGAGGAACAGAGGGGCAGGGGAGGCACAGGTGGAAGCCAGGGAGAGGGGTTCCACAGTCAGCAGCAGATGCTTCGAGAGTGGCAGCCAGTTTCAGTTGGATGCTGGAAATACGTGAGCACTAATAAACAGCCCACAAACTTCCAGCCTCCGAGTACTCTAGGGAGGGCTTCCCGCCCTGGTGCTGCCGACAGTGGGTGCTTAGCGGCATCCCTGGCCTCCACCAGCAGCTGGGCACCTACACCAGCCTCCAGATGCCACTAGATGTCCCCGGCTGGGTGGGAGCAGGGCTGCCTGGGCTATAGCACTTTTCTCAAACTCCAGGAACCTGTAGCTCTCAGGGTGTTGGGGAGATGCTCACACACGGGGGAACATGGGAAATGAGCTGCCACTTGCTCCTTCCTCAAGGGCACCACCCTCCCACTTCCCCAGACCTCCCCACAGGAGCCAGGGCACAGGCCAAAGGAACTGCCTTCACTCTCCGAGGTGTTTTCACTCAGGTCCTGGGTGGGGCTGAGTTGCCCAGACAGAAAGGATGGCTGCTGAGCCGTCCTTGGGGAGACATGAAAACTACCCCCTCCTGGCCTTTCTTGAGAGTATTTGTGACTATAATCCATAGAGGTCTGGAGCATTTACTTAAGCTGACAAGCATCAAAATGCTAAGTTCAAAGGGAAAGAAACAGTTCACGAGACATTGGTAAGACATGTGGATTACTAAGACTATGTACACTCGTTAAAAACAGGACTGAAACCGGGCTCGGTGGCTCAGCCTGTAATCCCGCACCTTTGGGAGGCTGAGGTGAGTGGATTGCCTGAGCCCGTGGGTTCGAGACCCGCCTGGGCAGGCGAGACCTCATCTCTACAATAAAATCAAAAATTAGCCGGGCGTGGTAGCACGTGCTTGTAATTCTGGCTACTCGGAAGGCTGAGGCGGAAGGATCACCAGAGCCCAGCAGGTCAAGGCTGCGGTGGCCGGGAGCAGCCACTGCACTCCAGTCTGGGCGACAGAGTGAGACTCTAACGAAAACAAAAAACAAAAAACAACAACAAAAAAAACCAGGACTGACTTTACCAGTAAAACCCACTGATTTGTGTTCAGCTTCTTTAAGACACTATATTCCAAATTATGTATAATTAATCGCAGTATTGACTCATGGTTCATCACTTAATTAAAACATTCAAAAAAGTAAATCGGTTCAAATAAAAAATCTACTTTTTATTTCATGTAGAGGCAGGGTCTTGCTCGCTATGTTGCTCAGGACAGTCTCCAAATCCTGATCTCTGGCCTCAAACAAGCCTCCAGTCTTGGACTCTAAAGCGCTGGGATTACAGGCCCAAAATAAAACAAACGTCAAGCTACTTGGCTGACCTGGAGTCATGGTTAGGTTGAGCATCCCAAACCTGAAATTCTAAATGTTCCAAAAGCAGAAGCTCTTTAAGCTCAGCAGAAACGTGCATGAGGACACAGAGGATTCCAGACTTCTGGATTAGGGAGCTCAGTGGCAAGAATTCCGCAAATATTCCAAAAGCTAAAATTATCCAAGAATTGAAATGCCTCTGGTCCGACACATCAGGACAATAAAGCCCAGCCCATGGTTAAAATCAGGACACGCACCTCACGGAACCCACCTGTCTCAACTCCACCGTAGGGCCTCTTCCCACATCCAGAGCAACCTTGACGGGGGCTAAGCAAGGGTGAAGTTTAAGGACCTAAGGCAATCCAAGGAGGGAGGATGTGAAAGGAGAAAGCACGTCTTGTTTAAGCATAACAAGGACCACATACAGAGTTTTATCAACAGTTAACACTGAGTGAAATGGAGTCAGCGGAGGCCATGAATGCACCGCAATGACCTCTCGGCTCAGAGGAGCCGCAGACCCTTCCACGCAGCGACAACACACCTTCCCTCCTGGCTTCGCCTCCAACCTGCCGCCCAGGTTTGTCGCTTTGACACTCCTCCTGCCATCCACCCGCCTGCCCCACAGACCTTCTAATGCCTGAGCGGTGCTGACACAGTTCTAGGTGCTGGGGTGAAAACTCATCTCTCCTGGCAGGAGAAGCAGTAAATACACAAAGTGAGAAGGCAGATGGAGTGAGCGGAGGCGGAATGCCAAGAAAGGAGGCGGGGTGCTGGTGGGGGGAGGAAAAGGGGGCTGGCACGTCGACCTTGGGACTCAGAGACAGTCCCCCAACCCGCGAGGTGACACATGCGCAGGCTGGAAAGGAGGGATCCCTAGCATGTTCTAGAAACAGCAGGGTCAGTGCTGCTGGGGTCAACTGAGGGGAGGGGCCCTAGTCTTTCCGAAGAAAAGGAGGGGCTCGCTGTGTGCTCTGAGTGTTCTGGGCATCCACTCGGCAAGCAAGGTGATAGTGGTTCCATTCAGGGAGCAGCCATGGAGGGCTGAGAAGTGGTCGGACTCAGGATATACTTAGGAGCTGGAGAAAGCAGGACTTGCTGATGGCTTAGACGTGGGATGTAAGGAAAGACAGGATCCCTGTCCATGTGCTACGCAACCTGTAAATCCCAACACCAGAGCTGCTCTCACCAGCTGCGCTTTACTCTGGCATTGCAGGCTCAATGAACACAGCACCGCTTCTAGCCCCAGTCGCGCACACACGACTCGACATGACCTGCTGAAACCCACCACCGTGGGCAACCTGCTTTCACGTCCAGCGGACACGACCATTCCACCCTTGCCCCTTCAACCCCTGCTTCCCCACACGTAAACCAGCAAGTGCCTCTGAATCCCTGAGAAATGGAGGGTGAGAGTGAAGCATCCTTCCAGGCCACACAGCCCAGTCACGTCCACCTCCACCTCCATCTCCACCTCCACCTCCACCTCCACCTCCTCCACCTCCACCTCCCTTCCTCCCTGCCATTCAAACAGCCCCTTTTCAAGACAAAGCCTCTACCTATGTGCTTGGTCTTGTCCTGACCCTCCTGTCCCTGCCAACATCTTGCTCCGTTAGTCATCCTCCGCTATAACGCCAACCCCTTCCCGCTCTTATCTCTGAACCCACAAACATGCTCCAGTGCTACCCAGGTACTCAAAGCAGCCTCTCCCCTGGGCCCAGCTGTGACCTGGTGGCCAACACGTGGGGCACGACCAGCAACCAGATCCCCAGGACAGAGGTCAGTGCCCTGGGGCTTGCGAGCCCTGTCTTCCTCACTTCTGTGACCAATGGGAAGGCTCAGGGTCCATAACCAAACGGAATCACCCAGGACTGCCCACAGGGGATGCTGTGTTTTATTCTGGGAGAATCTGATTATTATTTCCACAGCCAGATTCTAAAAAACTGGGAAATACTTAAATTACGAGCACCAAAAGAAAAGTACTATTCAGAGTTTACGTTAGAAACCAAGCACACTAACATAAGAGAGGAAAGCCCATCCTTAGTTCCGCATGTCTGCATCTGAAGGAGCTAAGGCACCTTTCTGTGAAGACCGTCGTTTCTCATGAAGGCGCTCGCTGTCAGCTGGAAGGAGTCGTAGAGGTAGGCCAGCACGCCCTGGTCCAGGTCTCCACTAATGGACAGGACACAAGGAACCACATTCTTCCGTCCATCTCGGCCCTTCCCAGAAAGCAGAACAAAAATGTATCATTTAGCAGAACTCGTTCTTAAAATTATATATTTTAGACGTATAACAGTACAACTTCATTTTACAAAGCACCCATGTGCCAGGCCTGTGCCAGACACAGGCCACAAGGATAAGAAAGACACATTCTGTGCTCTCAGGAGTTCAGTTCTGGTGGCAACTCTTCTTCGCTGGAACACCTGATTTCTCACACCATTCAACACCGTTTTTACTGATCTACTTCACTGTCCTCTAAAAACATATTTGGAAACTAACTATAAAATCAACTAAAAACAGACATAAAATAGCTTAAGAAACATTTCAAAAAAGGCTACTAGGCCAGGTATAGTGGCCCACACCTATAATCCCAGCAAGCTACGGCAAGCAGAGGTAAGAGGATTGCCTGAGCTCAGGAGCTTAAGACCAGCCTGGGCAACATAGTAATTTCTTGTCTCTACAATAAAAAAGAAAAATTAGCCAGGTGTAGAAGTGCATGCCTGTAGCTCCAGCTACTTGGAAGGTTGAGGCAGTGAGATCACCTGAGCCCAGCAGGTCAAGGCTGTGGCAGCTGTGAGCGTGCCCACTGCACTCCAGACTGAGTGAAGGAGTGACTCTGACTGAAAAAAAAAAAAAGCACACTAAATGACAAACTGTATTTAACCTTTTCAACATGTTCAGCTAGTGATGAATACTTTTGTGAACTCTGAAAACAGAAAAGCAACCATTTCATGGGAGAGTAAAATTCTGCAGTAGAAAACTTTTCATCAGAGAAAGTTACCTCAGTAAGGAACAAAATAAGAGAAGGATAGTCACGATTCAAATCATCTTTAAATCCCTGGTCACATCGCTGAGCTGATTTTTAACTATAATTAACCAATTAGTTTCATTTGTGAGATGAATACCCCAAAATAAAGCACGAAAGTGGAAAAGCTGTGGGAAAATGCTCACAAAATGCCTTTTAGCTTTTCCTTAGTTATCTTACCCACCTTTAAAAATCAACCTATTTTCTATTCACTATACATGTACTACTGTTTTCATTTCAGGTTTCAGACAACGTTGTCACTGTAAGACTGCATGAGCCACCCGACAGCACATACAACGCAACCCGTGTCAGTCAGGATGTCTCAACACTCCCCCTGGAACGACTCAGAGTGGCTCCACGTGACGTGGCCAGGGTCCCTTCCCTCACAGGCGCTGGAGTCCCTGCCAGCTCCACCTTCCTCTGTGAAGTGCAGCGAAGACCTCGTCCCCCCTGCCGGGGCTGAGCGTAGGGTCAGCCAGCCGGTGCCCCAGTCCAGAGGGCCAGAGCCAGGGCCAGGTCTCTGGCCAGCGTGACCCCTGGGGAGAGCGAGGCTCAGGCTAGCCTTCCAGCAGCCTCTCCTCCTTCCCTGTGTGCTGGCAAGGACTTGGCAAGGGCCCAAGGCAGAGGGGGCAGCTCATCCAGGGAGCAGTTCTCTGCCTGGCTTTCCTAAGGCTTCCTTCCCCGGGGCAGACACTTACCTCATGTGTAATGGGGGCAAGGGACTGTTCTAGAGTTTGGTTACATGCAAGGAATGAAAAATAAATTGAAGAGGCTGGGGGCCGTGCTTCTCATTGTCAAAGAAGAGAATTATAGATCTGGAAGGAGGAAAAGCTGGAGGAAATCCCATGGCATCAGGATGGAATTTGAAGAAGTGGAATGAACACCTAGATTTTAACAGATATAGACACAGACACAGACACAGAGGTAAGTGAGAAATGTAACCATCTACAAACAGCTCCACTGAGAAGGCCCAGTACCAACGACACCTAGTTGTAAGGAGTCAATCTCACGGCAAGATCTCAGCTTTTAAATACATTTTGCTCTAATAGGAACCAAGGCTCCTTGGAGAAATGGTTGCACCACAGCTAGGTCAAGCCAACACATGATCCTGAACAATCTGCTGCTACAAAAAGGTCATGAAAGACAGGGAAAGATAAGAGGAAAGGCTCACTTGAAGGAAACTAAAGAGACATACATGCTCCTGGGCTGGATCCTGGGCCTAGAAAGGGCAATTTGGGGATAATCGGCCACGTGAGCAGGGCTCTGTGGGATGGAGAGCCGTAGTGGGTTTCAGCTCATGTCCTGATTCTGGTGTTCGCTCCATGGCCGTGTGGGCATTCTGCCCCCGAAAGACAAACACCGAGCACAAGGGGACATGGGACACCATGTCTTTAACGTATGCGCAGATGATTCAGAAATGATGAGAGAATCTGGGTAAAGAAAACACAGGTGCTCAGGGTACCACATACATGTAGTTTAGATGTGTTCCCAGGATACATGCGGACAAGGTCATGATCTCCCAGACTCCACAGGGTTTCTATGGGCTCCTTTCCCCAGGGAAAATGGTAGTAAAGCTTGTTTCCTTTTCGTCCCTCTTCATCCTGACAGTCACTGCTGCTGAAGTCAGATGGGCTCACAGCAAACTGGAAAAGAACATATATGATACGTGCTAGTTTACCCCGAATCCCATAATTATCCGTAAGAATTAAAGTTGCCTGAGACGTTTTACGCAGCAACAGTGTGAAACTAGTTAAGTTCCGGATACAAATTTTGAAATTCTTTTTTTTTTTAAACAGAGACGAGGTATTGCTATGTTGCCCAAGCTGGAGTGTAGTAGGTATTCACAGACATTATCATCACACGCTACAGTCTCAAATTCACACCCCGGGACCCTCCTGCCAGTCTCCTGAGTAGCTGGAACACTAGTGAAAATACTGAGCATACAGTATTATAAAATATATTATAGATATTCTATGTATATATTATAAAATTCAAAAATGGTATATATACTGTTTTTTAGTCTGAAAGAACTTCAGAGAAAATCTGTCGATGCTATCTAGGCTTTTTGTGACTAGTTTCTAAGAGTGGATGGGAACCATGACCTACAGGGAATAGAGAAGAAAGTACCACAGTTATTCTTTTCATCCTTCGGGAAAGTGTCTGCCACTTGTGATTTCTTCATAGTTTACGTGGGTGTGGGGGATTCCTAAGAGTTGGGGAAAGGTAAGACAACAGACAGCAAGACAGAAATGCTCGTGTCAACTTTTTTCTCTTCCACATCGACTAGCACTTGACTGTCGATTTCAGAACCACTTTGACGAGGAAGGAGAGTGCAAGGCTTATCAACAAGGGTATCTGAGCCCAGCAATGTCTTCACAAGAGGAACTTAGTTATCTTGAACAACGAAAACCGCCGGGTTCGGTGGCTCAGCCGGTAATCCCGCACTTTGGGAGGCTGAGGTGAGTGGACTGCCTGAACCCCGCGGGTTTGAGACCCGCCTGCGCAACTTGGAGAGACCTCATCTCTACAATAAATCAAAAAAATCAGCCAGGCGTGGTAGCGCGTGCCGGTAATTCCGGCTACTCGGAAGGCTGAGGCGGAAGGATCACTGGAGTCCAGCAGGTCGAGGCTGCGGTGGCCGGGAGCGGCCACTGCACCCCAGTCTGGGCGACAGAGTGAGACTCCAACTCAAACAAAAAACACAAAACAATGAAAACCATCACAAAGAGTTTTTCATCTGTATTTGTTGATCTGTTATAGCTGTGACAAATATAACATAGCTACATCAAATAAAATGTCATTTATGACACAGAAGCATTATCTCTGACATATTTAGACAATTTACTTGGCTGGGCATGGTGGCTCATGCCTGTAATCCCAGCACTTTGGGAGGCCAAGGCAAGAGGACTGCCTGAGTCCAGGGGTTTGAGACCAGCCCGAGCAATTTGGCAAGACCTTGTCTCTACAAAAAATCAAAAAAGTAGCCAAGTGTGGTGGCACATGCCTATAGTGCCAGCTACTTGAAAGAATGAGGCGGAAGGATTGCTGGAGCCCAGCAGGTCGAGGCTGCGGTGGCCGGGAGCGGCCACTGCACTCCAGTCTGGGCGGCAGAGTGAGACTTCGACTCAAAAAAAAGAGGATATATTTACTAAGTATTGAAAGTAAGTACTGCAGTACCTTTCTCCACCACAGGAGTCGATGGCGTAGCCAGAAGTCAAGCCACTGGCTTGAAGTTCTTGGAGATGTAAACCATACCAGGGAAGCTTCAGTCTTCTCACCAACTCTTTAGACACCAAAAATATCAGAAAGTTAGCTTCTTTGAAAAGTATATAATCCATGCCAAAGTGGAAATGACTGGTTCTTGACTCTTTATTGAGTAGGGGGTCTCATTCTTTCGCCCAGGCTGGAGGACAGTGGCAGGCTTATTGTTCACCACAGCCTTGACCTCCGGAGCTCAGGCGATCCTCCAGCCTCAGCCTCCCGAGTAGCTGGCACTACAGGTGTGTGCCCCCACGCCCAGCTTATCTTTAAATTTTTTGTAGAGATGAGGTCTTGCTATGCTGCTTAGGCTGGTCTTGACTATTTAAATACAAAGCCAAGTTATTTGCCACTCTTTGTACCTTTGAACACCATTCGGTATCTGCTGAGTATCAGAATCAGGATGAAAACACACTCCAATCTGAGCAAGGCCGTAAGGGAGCCTCTTGTTTACCAGGTCCAGGCAGTCAACATAGTGCTCCAAGGCACCTGTCAGAAGACAAATCAGTCACTGCATGAATCTATTCTATAAATCTAAACTATCCTTGCCCATTCATAGGCAAACTAACCCCGCAGTACAAGTAGCATGGAGCAATAAAGACATATCTTTACCGACGACCACTTAACTTTAGGTAGTTTCTCCCCAACGTTTTAGATGGAAGATTTTCAATTCTATAAGAAGGTTGAAAGAATAGTACAATAAACACCTGCATACCCTTCACCCAGATTCAGCAGTTCTATCAACATTTTTCCCCATCTGCTTTTTCTTGTGTACTCCCAGACACTTTTGTATGTAGCTCCCACAAACACATTCTCTGTGTACCCCATTATACCAGTTAATCGCAATACCACAATGCCACCTGACATACGGTTGGTATTTTATTTGTTCCAATTTTCTTTCACCCAAAATATCTTGTATGGTTCTCTTTCTCTCCAATTAAAGTTTCTGCACTGCATTTTGAGTAACTTTCAAAGAAGAATATTTCACATGACTCCTTCCCCCTTAAACTTTACTACTGACACTGACTTATGGTCTGAGTCCAGGCTAGTAATAGACTATCCCACATTTGAGATTTGTCTGATTATCTCTGTATGACTTCATTTTTAGCAGGAATATTAGTTGATGTGCATGTCTTATTGCATCATAACAGGAGAAACACAATATCAAATTACTACTGATAAAAGTAAATTTGATTACTTGGCCCAACATTTCATATACTGTATATTTTAGAAGCCATTGCTTGAATTAATTACACCGGGGACTGCAAAATAATAAAATGGTGAGTTTCCTGATCTTTCCTTCTACATTTATTACATGGCTTCTGTAAGCTTTCTCCACCCATTCCCAGCTTCAATTACTTACTTTTAAAATGAATGGACTCTTATGGACTCTCAGATTTATTTTAGTCAATGTGCTATGATTCATTACCAAGCACCAACATGTTCTAATATTCAATTTGTCCCAAATTTAGCCAGTGGAAGCCTTCTTAAGCCGGCATCTGTGTCCTGTGATACGCCCCAACAGTCTTCACACAATTCTTTGCTTTCTAGTACCATAAAATTCACCAGTCACCCTGCACTCTCTCTGCCCCAGACCTGGAAGGAGTCGTTTAGCTCTGGTTCATTTTATTTTTTATTTTATTTTTTATTTTTTTGAGTTGGAGTCTCACTCTGTCGCCCAGACTGGAGTGCAGTGGCTGCTCCCAGCCACCACAGCCCTGACCTGCTGGGCTCTGGCGATCCTTCTGCCTCAGCCTTCCCAGTAGCCAGAACTACAGGCATGCACTACCACCCTGGCTGATTTTTTGATTTATTGTAGAGACGAGGTCTCGCTGCCCAGGCGGGTCTCGAACCCACCGGCTCAGGCCATCCACTCACCTCAGCCTCCCAAAGGCACGGGATGACAGGCTGAGCCACCGAGCCCGGCTTCTGGTTCATTTTAAAAACCAAGACCTGAGCACTAGGTGGGCTTACTGATGCTGAGCATCACCGCTTCTAGCCCTCTTCAGGGAAGAAAGGTGGGAAATACACAAGGCGGGGGAACCCCCCAAAAAACTGGAATTATCTTTTGGAGGGTGGGCCCCTTGTGGTACAGGCATCCCCTACTAGGCAAGTGTTCTAGGAACCCGTTGGCATCTGTGTACTAGCTAGCATTGTTGTGAGAGGCTGCGTTTGGCTTCAACGAATGTATTTTTGGAGAGTCTTTTGATGCATTTGCCACTTAATGGCAGGTGATTTACGAGCACACCTGCTTCCACCAAGCTGAGTATATAGCAGTTTTTGACCAGAAACAGCATGACCCCTGCGCCCCACCTTCACTATTCACGTGATGTCGCCCTGAGCAACTTTTGTTTCCCCGGATGAAAAAAGTCCTCAAAGAAAAATGTTTTGCTGATGTAGAAGAGATGAAACAAAAAATGGCAGAAGTACTCAGGCATCAAAACGGATAAGTTCAAAAACTTTTGAGCAGTGGAAAAAGGGTCTCCATAGGTGTATTGCATCCAACAGAGAGTACTCTGAAGGGGACTGAAGTTTAAACATATAAAAATATACAATTTCTTTTTTTTTAGTTGGACTCTCACTCTGTCACCCAGGCTGGAGGGCAGTGGCACACTCACAGCCACCCCAGCATCGACCTGCTGGGCTCAGGCATTCCTTTTCACCTCAGCCTTCCAAGTAGCTGGAACTATAGGCACATGCTACCACGCCCGACTAATTTTTTGAGTTATTGTAGAGATGAGGTCTCGCGAAGTTGCCCAGGCTGGTCTCGAATCCTTGTGCTCAGGCAATCCTCTTATCCTGGCCTCCCAAAGTGCTGGCATTTTAGGCTTGAGCCACTGCGCCTGGCCTACAATTTTGTAATAAATAAATTCTGTTTTTTGGGAGGAGTCCTCCCTCATATACTGGAGGTGCCAAAAAATGTGTACACATTTTAAGAGATGTTATATATTAATTTTAAAAGTTGAATTGAATTATGGTAGCAATGTGCAGTATGATGTTCACTCAAAAGATGGTGTTAATCAAATGAATGCTAGCGTCACCATGTGACAGGCAGGAGAGTCAAAGAAAACAGCGGAAGCATGGCTGATGTTCGAGGAGAGCAAGACCATTTTGAAGTCGTATTTGAAATTCAAGAACGTTGTGGAAGTACAATAGAGGCTTGAGTATGCACCAGAACCTCCAAAATGCCTGACAACTGCATGCATTCATGGTGGACACAGGGTACCAAGTGTGACATGCACCTGGGAAGATCCGAGAGACCTCGCACAGCAACAAGCCCTGTAGTAGCTTGCTGTCATCAGAAATATCTGGACACTGATGGGAACCACTTTGAGCACCTATTTTAACTGTAGAAGTCAAACATGACTTGGATTCATCTTTTGATATTGGTATCTATTGGGTATTACAATTTTAATAGTTTTTTCCAATTCTTAAAATGCATATACATTTTTTGGCACCTTCTGATATTTAAAAACCATGAGTTCATACTGTTATTATCAATCCAAATTAAACAGTAGTTTATCCTTGCTTTCTTTTATAGTCTCTTCTCTTACAGTGAAACTAATTGGTTCCTGACATTAACCTAATTATTTGGTTTATCCTGTAATAAAATATCTTCTTATAATTCCCACACTTCTGCCTAGAATAAGTCGAAGAGATCACAGTGCCTCTGCTGTTCTTTATGCACTTAGACTACATCCCAATGAACAACAGCACTGTGTTCAGAAGTTACTTGATTTCCATAGATTAGCCTGTCCATGAGAAAAACTGACCTGACCAACCCCCACCCTCATTTTTGAGAGTGGGTTGCACTCTGTCTCCCAGTCGAGTGCAGTGGCATGATCATGGCTCACAGCAGACCTGATCTCCTGGGCTGATGAGCTTCCTACCTCAGACTCCTGCGTAGCAGGGACTACAAGCGTGTGCCACCACGCTGGGCAAAGTTTCTGAAGAGATGAGGTCTTGTTATGTTGCGCAGGCTGGTCTTGAACCTCTGGGCTCAACTGATTCTCCTGCCTTGGCCTCTCCAAGTGCTGCGATTACAGGCACAGCATCTGGCCCCTGCCTCCATTTTTTAAAAATCTGCTGAAAGACACGGGAGAGCTACCAAGGCAGCAAGGAGCTTGAAGTCCAAGATTTGGAGAGCACGGAAGAGCAGAGAGACTAAAAGCCAACACCCTGGGAAGCGCTTTCAAGTTTCAGGGAGCAGAGCCTCCTGCCCTATCAGGGGCCTGGTAAGCACAAAAACTAGTTTGTGGCCCACCAAGGAGAGGCCCTGGTCCACACTCCAGGATTTCACTGGGACACTTGCAGGGCTGCTCTCTAAGCCAGCCTCTGATCACTCGACCTCTGTCTGTCCTGGGCAGGTTTACCCACTCTAGCTGCAGCCCCCAGCAAAGGTAAACAAATCCCTCCGGGAAGAAGCCCCTACCCAAAGCATCAACGTGGCTCTACAACTTGCTATGCACAAATGACCTAGAACATCAGGAGGCAAGATGCCCAGAGAGAGATGCTGAAAACTGATGTATCTGAACGAGCAGACACAGACCATAATGTGAGTCACATGCACAGGGGAGGTGATGACAAGGCGGGGAAGAGGTCTCACATGGGTCATCAGTCAGAGGGATGGAAGAAACAGGGCAGCAGAGCCTGCGGGAGACACACTGGCTGAGAAAGGGTCAGATGTGGGACAGGGAGCGCAGGCACCCTTGGAGCAGGAAGTGGCACACCGGACCGAGATCGGGATAACAGATAAAAGCGGGAGGGACGGAACCCTAGAGGTGGCCTCCTTTCGGCCTCCGGGTCTCTGCAGCTGGAGGGTGGTGGCCTCATTTAAGAGACAGGGCCGAAGCTAGGCACGGAGTCTCACGCCTGTCATCCCCACACTTTGGAAAGTGAGAGGACTGCCTGAGTCCAGGGGTTTGAGACCAGCCTGGCCAACTTGGGAAGACCTTGTCTCTACAATACATAGAAAGATTAACGGGGCACAGTGGAGCACGCCTATAGTTCCGGCTACCAGGGAGGTTGTTGAGGTGG